GAAATAATTGCTGAAATGAAGAGAATAGAAAAAGGTATGTTGCAATAGTTTGAAAAGTAATACTTGAATTAGTAATTGACGGAGCTAACCAATAGGAATTCTAAATGCCCTGGTACGGTCGAAAGTAAGGAGAGTCCACACACACACTCTCTCTCGAAATGCTCTTACATAGCCATGCGTATACATCCACTGACGGGGAAGTCATACTCACTGACTTCTCGCACCACGGGTGTTGTTTACGAAATTGAGAGGACGAAAACCGAATGTTCGCAGCTCTAACTGGGTTGATAGATACGGAAGGTCCATCTAGGGGAGTTACAAAATCCTCATTCCAAACTAATGGTGTACATAGGTTTCAGGATCCTGAAGGAACAAATGGAGTATGAACCAATCATTGGTCACCGACTATCATGGGATTGCATCTCCTTAAGTTGCTCCACTGCCTTACGGACTAGACTTTTAGGTCGAAGGCTCTGGTTGTAGCCTCCGAATAAAACCACCTGTTTCGGTTTTGGCACCCAAGTAGCATCACAGCCTTCATGAAAACCGAATTTTATTTTTATTTGAACACATAAGTATTGGTACAAGGGAGCACCAGATATGTATGCGCCACACAAAACAATGAGAACGGGAAGAGAAAAAAGGAGGTAAGGTGCGTATAATAAAAAATAACAGGTTAGTGTAACGTAATGTATTAATAATAATAATTACGGGGGAAACGGTAAGGTACAACTAGAAAGAATTCTTTCAATTAAGGAAGTTACAACCACTTTTTGTGAAGAAAGTAAAAGAAGGTTACAGCAGGATCGCCATTGGCTTCTATTCTGAGCCATATCTGATAACGTCTCTAGCCACTGTGTAGCACCATCTCTCGGACCACAACCAGGGAGTCGTGAAGGACCGACTGAAGTCAGCCTTTTGCAGCTTTCTTTTATACCACGACACCATGTCATGCACTGACCACCTCTCCGCTTCTTCCAACCAGTCCCAGAGTCGGCAAATAATGCACGACGTGGAATTCTCTGGGACGACATTCGGAGAACATGTCCAAGCCACCGAAGTCGATGTTTCAAGATGGTGACACCAATTGGATTATCGCCTCTGCGCCCGAACACACGATGCTGAACCTCTGCATTACTAACATGGTGTTGCCACTGGATGTCAGCGATCCTTCGGAGACAGCGGTGATCGAACACAGAGAGTCTTCTAACGTCCTCAACTCGGAGAGGCCAGGTTTCACTAGCATAGAGCAGCACTTCTCTCACCGACGCGTTGTAGATCCGACGAATGGTCTTTGGTGCCCCCTCGTACCTATGTTTAAATAAATAAATAATCCCGGCCCCGATATAATAGGATTAGTCTTATTAACGTATAATCGTTATATACATCTGATGAAACAACTTGAAGATAAGGTTCTAAATTGTAAAAACGACTAATTTTTGATAAGAATTCGAAAGGAAGCTTTTGGGGCTAATATTATCACAAAAATGGATAGTGGCTAGCAGTGGAATCCAGTAAAACGCGTGTTTCTTGCTATTTGGGACTCGTTATTTGGACATACTTGCATCAGGACTCAGTAGCTAAGTGGATAAAGCAATGACGTTTGAAGCGGATGGTATTGGGTGAGTCCCAGAGTGAACATCAAGACTACTCTAGCATTGTTATGATCTCAAATGTACGAAAAAAACCTACAATTAAATCATATCATTATTCATGGATTAAGTAATGACCATTAGTGTATTGTATAAATTACTGAAAAAAAGTCAAGGATTTTATTATACTGTTCTAAGTTCATGTGGGGACAGTCCACGGGTGAACTCGAGGAAGCTCTAAGAAGAGCTCAGAAATATTATAACTTGTGACCTATGTGCCCTGTTTATTGTATAACGTAACGATACCGCCAATTAGAGAGCAGTGAATTATCGATCGGACCAATGACGCATAAAACACGTGCGAGCACTCTAAAGTACTATTGGTCCTGCTTTCCGTCTTGCCCAGCCAGCTAAGTCCAGAACACCAATCCGAGCTTCTGCAATATGAATCGTTTATTTCAAACATACTGGGTTTATATACGAACCGAACAGACAACATCGTACCATGAAGTAAGAAACAACATTTGTACAAGAATTAGCCAAATGTGGCCGTGAATGAGGGGGGTAGTAATTAATAGACAGAATATAACTCAAGAATGGTTAATCGTATAATAATAGTTCATAGGTCAAAATAAAACTCATAATAAGAGGGACATGAATATGAACAGTTTAGTTACATAACAATTATACGATAAAAATATACACATAGTATTGGTCCATAAATGGATCCCAAAATTTACCATTCATTATTCTTATCGGAACATAACAAGAAAGAGCCGAGGATATTCCATCCGATCTTTTGGAAGAATACTCCAGAATCCCTACGTGTAGCTTCCCTATTGAACAAATGCTAATAACCCCCTGTATGCGGATTGGAGGACTATAAAAACTATAAACACCTGACAGTTTTCTATCATAATTGACACTGTTTGGAATAGCATTCCTTTCACTTGTCTTCTCATTTGAAAATTGAGAGGGTTTTGTCATTCAAGTGCTCAAGTTATACGTGGTATATTAAGAATCTAAGGTTTAGATATAACAGTTCATCAGCTCAGAATGTCATTTCACTGAATTTTCGGAATCTCTGTGCATAAATATAACGGAAACTATCAGACAAAAATCACTTATCAGTTGTTAAGAGACCTAGGATTAAGCTGATCTCCTCATGAGTGAGCGATTTTTCAAGATAAGAAAAGTAGACGATAAAACTTGGAAACTTATAAACTAAACAAAAGGAGTTTAAACATCTTTAAAGATGTCAAGATGGTTCTCCTATACGGAGCTGAAACGTGTAGAACTATCACAATTGTCTACGAAATATATCCAACGTCTGTTAATTGAATACTATCAACAACAACCTACTATGAAGGAGGACAAACAAGCTACCATCTAAAGAAAAAATGGCACAGATATGACGGAATTGATCAAACTACATCACAAGGCAAGCCCTAACATGGAATCTTGAGAGGAGGAAAACCAAGGAACGCATTGCGTCAGAAATTGGAAGCGAACATCTAAAGAATGAATAGCAACTAGAAAGGATTGTCGAGAACAGAGTTCGATGGCAAACGCTGGAGGGTGCCCTATGCTCCTCCGTGAGGGGTAACAGGTTTAAGTAAGTAACATGAAACTCATTTTCATGAATGGATGTTTTGAGAGAATAGTTTGCCAACCCAATTTCTTGTATAGTAACAGCCATAAAGAATTCAGGGGTATAGAAAAACATGTAGAGAAGCACACAAAAAGAAGATAATAGTTTTGAAGTAAACGAATGTAAATGGATAATCAACTCTGCCGAAGATTCCTATGGAAAGAGAACATAAGAAATAAACACTCAAATAATTTAGGGGATCTTGTTTGCCTTATAATAGAAGTAACAGATTGTCAATAGTATATTTCATACGACACTAGTTAGGATTAAAGTAATTCCTAATAATTATCCTGTTTAATAGTTGAATTCATAAGTCGATTAAAGCTAGACCACAATGGAAAACGTGGAGGCACTGGACGGTTTTTTCGTGGATGCGCATTGCTGAGCAGTCCCACACTAGGACAAAACGGTCATCCAGTGTTTCCATGGTGATCTACCTTTAATCGACTCATGAATTCAACTAATAAGATTATTACAATCTCCACAAAAGCCCCTTTCTGATAATTATCCTGTTGTCAAATTCGACAGGCGGTGTACGTCAGAGCCTAACCGTCGCTGAAGAGTAATATAACAATTAACCGAAACTAACACTGGGTTGAAACAAAGAAATTATCTGTTTCAGAAACATTCAAATAATAACAGTCAACATTAAAATCAAAAAGCTAGTTTATGAAAAGATAACACCGAACTACTGATTAGTAGTATCGGACAATACTACGAAAATACACTTGGAGTAAAACTATGGGATAAGGATGCTACAAATAGAATCAAGAAAACTTACACTTTTGTGCAGAATTTTAAAGTGAATTACCTTCATCCGATATCACATAAAACAATCAGTAGAAATACTTGGGTTTAGTGTTCGGAACATTCAAGATACCAATCAAAAAATGTTCTTCGAAAATGGTATTCAACGTACCAATAGTTCAATTCTTCCTATATAAACTGTAGACGACATGCAAATCACCATATTACATCTGCGTCGCTTATTACATATACTTAGAAAAAAACCCAGGAACCACTAGAATCCCCACAACGCGAAGTAAGAAAACCAAGACTGGTACAAATAAAGAATTACTTACTTACGCCTGTTACCCCCCCCCGGTGGAGCACAGGCCACCGACTAGCGTTCTCCAACCCACTCTGTTCTGGGCATTTTTTTCAAGTTCTATCCAATTCTTGTTCATTCTTCTTATGCCTGTCTCCATTTCTCCAAGTAATGTGTTCTTTGGTCTTCCTCTTCTCCTTTGACCTTGAGATTTCCAATCTATTGTGGGAAAAAACACCAGTGCAGGAAGAAGCGCTCGAAGTGGATAGGACACACATTGAGGAAAGCATCCAACTGCATCACAAGGCAAGCCCTCACTTGGGATCCTTAAGGCCAAAGGAAAAGAGGAAGACCAAAGAACACATTACGCCGGGAAATGGAGATAGACATGAGAAGAATGAACAACAATTGGATGGAACTAGAAAGGAAGGCCCAGGGTAGAATGGGTTGGCGAATGCTGGTCGGCGGCCTATGCCCCAGTGAGGGGGGGGGTAACAGGTGTAAATAAGTAGCTGAGTCGTGAGCATCTACTGTTCTTCTTCGTGTCAGCTTTTCACACGGATGGCTCCACCCCTCCTCCGTTTAGTACCAAAGGTACCTATAGGTTAGGTATAAACATTTACACCATTGAATATACTCTTACCTAGATATTCTACCTCATGATACACCAAAAATAAAGCAGATATAACCGATAAAAAACTATACTTCATTCATAAACTATTTACATGTATTTAATATGCAATAAGAAAGCAAAGAAAATAAAGTTAAGTGATTGTTTTAACTTCCAATTCAGTTAATTGATTATAACGTTGAGAACTAGTTGCTGGTGAAGAGAACAAACTAAATAATGAAGATATTATTCTTGGCATTAATCCAATAGCCAACATTCCAGTCCATCCTAAATTAATACCATCACCGTCTCCAGCCCATAATTCATTGCCGGAAACATTGAATCGATTTCTTTGAAGATAATTTGTATTATTTTGGTTTTTATCGTTTGAGAGTTGTTGTTTCATTACTGATAAGTCAAGTGGAGCATCTTCAGATTTAGGAAGATAATAATCTAATGAAAATAGAAACAAATTAATGTGAATGATGTAAAGTTCACATAAAAATTGAATTATCTAGCGTAGTAGTATATCAATATTAGTAATGTTAACGTGAAAATAAACCTTATTTTCATCAGTAACTCAAATTGATTAAGTGCCAAAATTTTCATTTATTTGAACAGATAAATATTGGTAAAAAGGGGCATCGAGTACATATGCGTCACACAAGTTACCTAATTTGTGTGTAGACTGTGATACTGCTCAGGCGCCCAAACAAAAGCAGGTGGTTTTTTAGGGGGCAACACCAGGAGCCTTTGACCTAAAACTCTGATCCATAAGGCAATGGAGATGTATTACTATGACAACCGGTGACCAATGATTGGTTTATACGCCATTTGTTCCTTCAGGATCATGGAGCACATGTGCACGATTGGTTTGGAATCAGAGTTTTCCAACTCCCCTGAGTGGATTTTCCATATCCACAAACCCGGTTAAAGCTCTGGATATTCGCTCATCGTCCCCCCCCCAGTTTTGCAAACAACACCCCCGCTGTGAGCAAGCAATGAGTGTGACTTCCCTGTCAGTGGCTGTATACGCATGGCCATGTGAGAGCATTTCGAGAGAGAGAGATCTGACTTTCCCACCCGCGGCCGCACCAGTGCATTTGGGGGCACTGCCAAATACCTATTAATTTCTTCTCTGACTTTGCTAATGTAAGATGTAGCAAATATGACTGTTACTTCTTGTAAAAGACCTGATACTAGTAGCAAACTGACTCGTATCGTGATTAATTAATTTTGGCACTTATTAATTAAACATGATACAAGTCATTTAGTTACTTGTGTCAGATCTTTGACAAGCAAGTGTCATCCAAATTTGCTACATCTTACATTAGCAGTCAGAGAAGAAATTAATAGTTTGAAAAGCATAAGGTAGGAAATAATATAGAAGATACAGTCAATCAGTCAGTAACAACGTAGAACTTCGTATGTACGTACATCAGTTCGAGTTGCCACACCACATTAGCACAGAGATGCAGTTGTCGATTCAAATCCCGTAGTGGTAGAGGTAATAAGAGTATAAGCAGTAATAGGGAAGATTAGGGTTTGGAGATGTTATTTAAAGAGTATAGTACAGTGAAATAAATTTGGGAAGAGGAAAAAAAGGGACATGGAAAATTCAGAAGATTAAAATTTGGGAGAACACAAAGAGTGGATGCACCTGCGCCATTGCTAACGATTTTGAGCCATGTCATTCAAGGTCTCTAACCATCGGTTGCTATCATCTCGTGATCCCCAACCAGGTGGTCTACACCTACCAACATGACTCAGTCCACTTGTCAGTGACTTCATGCACTTGTGCCATGTTTTGGTTTGGCCGCCTCTAGCTTTCTTCCAACCTACTCCTATACCACTGAACATAGCACGTCGAGGTAGTCGGTCGTTGGGCATACGTAACACGTGTCCCAGCCATCTCAACTGATGAAGTTTCACTACTTCATCAATTGATTTGCCATCTTTACCTAGTACCCGTTTCCTAACAACTGTGTTACTTACTCGATGGTTCCATGATATACGAGCAATGTTTCGAAGACACCTATGATCGAATACTAGTAACCTACGAATATCCTCTACTCTTACCGGCCATGTTTCACTGCCATAAAGTAGGACGGAACGAACTGCTGCGCAGTAAACCCGTCCTTTGGTTGATAGACGGATATCTCGCCTACGCCATAAATGACGCAAGTTGGTAAAAGCTAGTCGAGCCTTCTGTATCCGTGCTGATGAGACTTCCAAGATAAGTGAAGGGATCGACACGCTCAATTACTTCATTCCCTGTCATTAGTTCGGGTGTCAATGCAACCCAATCCTGAAGCAACATTTTGCATTTCGAGGGGGAGAATCGCATCCCGAACATGCCTGCATTGTTGTTTAGAGTGGTCAGAAGACTCTGCATTTTGTCAGCGTCTTCACCAAATAGAACTATGTCATCGGCATATTCCAGGTCAACAAGTGAATCTCCTGGTAGAAGTTCAACCCCTGGAAATTTAGATGATGAAAGTGTTATCTCTAAAAGCACGTCAACGACAAAGTTAAACAAGAATGGAGAGTGTGAACAGCCCTGACGAACACCACTTGAGGTAATCAATTCTAATGACAGTTCGCCATAAGCTCTCACTCTACCAGTTGTGTTCGACTAGAGAGCCTTCACAACGTTAATGTACTTCTTTGGAACTCCTTTCAGTGACAAACACTGCCATAGAACCTCACGATCAACGGAGTCGAGAAATACTACCATTGTGGGGCGTCTGAACGTGTCTGTGTTCTACAACCTGACGTAGTGTGAATATCTGGTCTATACAACCACGTCCAGGTCGAAAACCAGCCTGATTTTCTCTAGTTTGCTCTTCACGAGCTTTAGTTAGGCGTCGAAGTATTATTGAAGCTAATATTTTAGATACTATATTAGTCAAACTGATTCCTCTGTGATTGTCACAAGAGGACTTTTGTCCTTTCTTATAGACTGGCACAATAAGTGATTGAGACCAGTCAGATGGGATTACGTCCAGTTCCCAAATCCTACCTAAGACCTCAGTTAATCTCACTGCTAATACTGGACCACCATCCTTAAAAATCTCGGGAGTAAGCCTGTCAGGGCCTGCTGCTCTCCCTCGCTTCAGATTTCCTGCGGCTCTTTCAACTTCGTAAAGAGTCGGAGGACCTACATTAACTTGCCATTCAGGTTGACTGGAGATCGTGTGAAACCGAAGTGTGGCTGAAGGCCAGTTGAGCTGATCCCTAAAGTGTCTTGCCCATCGATCCAACCTCCTGGATTGAGAATGTATAATATATCCATCTTTCTCTGACAGTGTTTCGCTAACAGTCGGTTTCCTTAACAAGTCTGAACAATTGTCTGCTAATACCTATTGCCGCTGCCTTTTCCACCTCTCTCGCTTTCGCTACCCACCACTGTTCACGATCATTGCGTAGACTTCTTGTCAGCTTGCGCTTAAGCTGACTCCGCTCTTCATTATGTTCAGATCCGGATGGAATGAGTTTCCGAGCACCTATCAGTGCGATAGATGCTGCTGAGATCCAGTGTTTCTCCCTAACCTTGTGGTTTGCCGTACTAGCAGATACCACTGCTGTTTCCACAGCTTTTCGGATATCATTCCATGCTGTCACGGGGTGGGCATCACATACGTGGCTGTCTAACTGTTTTCCTAGTTGTTCCTAAAATATACTCTTAGCTTGACTATCATTAAGTAGGACCCTAAGAGGTTTCCTTGTAGCGTCTTTCCTACGTCCAGTAAGACGCAGGCAAATACGCGCACGCACTAGGGCACGATCTGAATCTAAGCATGTGCTCCAGAATGAGCGACAGTCTTCTATCGAGCCCCTCCATTGTTGGCTGATAGCGATGTGATCTATTTGGGTCCAACGTTGGGACGAATTATGGGGTCGCCATGTCAAAAGATGTTTTTCCTTATGCTTAAAGTTAGTATTTATAAGAACGAGGCGTTTATCTGAGCATAGCTGCAACAGACAGTCACCATTATCTGTTCTTTGAGCCATGACACCATAAGATCCACCTAGGTGTCTTTCCCTATCGCTTGGTTTACCTACTTGAGCATTAAAGTCACCAGCCACTATTACTACATCAGAGCGCCTAGCTTTTCGGAGAAGGTCGGAGAGCTTTCTGTAAAACTCATATTTTACATCATCTGAGCCGCAGTCAGTGGGAGAATAGGCAGAGACGACGAAGAGGCAACGATGAGTGTCCCTATCTTTCCGAGTTCTTATTGTTTCGTTTAGTCAGACAGCGCACAAACGACTGTCTACTGGGATCCAGTCTAAGAGAGCTAGTTTGGCCCTAGGACTCAATGCTATACCTACGCCGGCGAGTCCACGAGAAGCAGCACCTGGGCTTCCAGATACACGAAGTGTGAATCGAGTTGGTTCTTTGTTTTGAAATGGTGATGTCAAATGAATGACACTACTCGGATCATGTATGCGCGTTTCGAAGAAGCAGCACACATCGATGGCGCGAGATTCTAAAGTCCTAGCTAAGGAAGCTTGTTGTCCTATTTGACACAGTGTTCGGACGTTAAAAACTCCAACATGTAGTTTAGAGCGTGGTTTCAGAAGACCAGGAATAACGTTCCGCGCACTCGAATCGTTTGCCCTAGCGGTGCGAGCTGATAAAAGGACGTGAGAAGGGTTAGTCGGGGAGATAAGAGTGGTATTAGGAGGTGTAGAAAGGATTTGAATGTGACCGACTTGGTTTCGTGTGTTGTTACGAGTATGAGGGCTGGTGTCAATTCCCGGCTTCCCACACCGTGGAAAGGTGTTTCTTGAGGAACCTGAAAAGGAAGTCGGATTAATGTCGACCTTAACGACCTGGGAGCGTGACCGCAGAGCCCAGGGGACAACTGCTCGAGGCCGGTCGCGCACGGCCTTTTCTCGGGAGGTTTTTAATGTGTCAGCTCTGTTTTTCAAAGGGTCTTACCGCCGGAGACGGAGATCCGTGAGGTAAGGTGAGGTGTGACATCTTTAGGGTCGACCTTTTCTAACCCCTTCTTTCCTTGTGAGAAGGCAGAATCGCTGCAGATGCTGGTTGTCCGAGGGAAACACCTTATTGCTGTCACACCCCTCTACAGTCAGCAGTACGACTTCGCCCTCAGACCTTGAGTTGCTGCTTTTAGTCTTACCGTTCTCCAATCAACCTACCTGGCATGGTAGAACCTACAGAAACATATGTTCCAGCCCATATAGCTCCGTTGGGTCATCAAGATAGGCAAGCGCGACCGCCGCGTCAAGGTAGCAGCTACGGTCGGAATAGAGGATACAATAAAAAATACGGTCCGAAACAGAAAAAAAAGCAGAGATTGAAGAATGGAAAGATGGAAATTATAATAAACTAAACTTGAGTTTTAGAGGATGGAAAAGAAAACAACCGATTGAATAATTGTGACCAATTTTGTACTCTATTACTCAATGTCTCTTACAACGGCTGATCCAAGTGAGGAACGCATTAGGCGATTAAGATGACAATATAGCTCGACTAATATTAAGTGAGAAAACAAACTTTCATAAGGTCAAGAAATACAGTTGCAATTGAGTGTCGGTGAATATTTGATCTACACACTCATGTTTAGGTTGGGAATTAGCCTGATTTTCATGGGTTTGTTCTTTATAGGATACAGTTAGGTGTCGGGTGATTGTAAATCCCAATATTTTAGACATCATGTCAGTCAGACTGATTCTCTCGTGATTATTACAAGAGAATTCCTGTTGTTTCTCATGACCTGAAACGACCAGTATTCATGAACAGTTTAGCAAAACTACGTCCGCTTTACAAACTGTAGCAAAAAGCCAGTTGAACTGTTCTTTAAAATGTCTGCTACAGTGTTTTAGCTACCTTGTTTTTCTTTGCCGAAAAGTCTTTATTTTGTTTAATGACTTAACGGGTCCCGTATTTCTAAAAAGATGACTAAGAATACCACCATACAGATCTGACAAATGAAATAGTTGAAAAGAGAATTTCCTTCACTGAAATATCATTATTTTATTTAAAAACCAGTTAGCTTCTAAAATCAGCAACAGCCTACTATGGGAGAGAACAAACAAGCTTCCAGATGGAAAAGAAATTAGGAAAAGACGCTTCAGGTGGATAAGATATATATTTCGAAAATCATCAAACATCACAAAGCAAGCTCTAAAATGGAATCCTGGAGGGAAAAGGAAAAGAGGAAGACCAAGGAACGCATTGAGTCGGGACTTGGAACCAGATATCAGAAGAATGAATAACAACTGGAAACAACCAAAAAGAATTTTCCAGTACAAAGTTCCACAGTGAATGCTGGTGGGTGACCTATGCTCCCCCACGAATGGGAGGAAAATACAGTGGAGTTTGCATAGAAAACCAACAACATTTACTGTCAATTCGAAACTGTCTTGTATGCTAAACGGATGATAACTGTTATAGATAAGAAATTTAAGAGACTGATTAGAAAGAAATACATATATAACCATGTTGAATAAAAGGTTTCGCATGATGAATGATACACTAATTATTTCGATATATTGTACATATTCAACAACTTTACTAATCTAGAGAAGGAAGAGGAAGTTGTATCAATAAGAAATTGAATAAATTGAAAATCTTTAACTTAAACATACCAGTTTGAGTAGTATTCCTCTCTGCAGATTTTTCATTTTCCAATTGGTGTTTCATAACAGGATCATAACTGACTGTTTCATCATGATTGTTTGTTTTAATCAACCGTTTTCTTTCTTTGAATTCTTCTTGTCGTTCCGCCCAAAATTGATTCCATCGTAAACGCCAATCATAATATTGAAGACCACCTTGTCTAAATGATTCACCTAGACTGCAAACAATTTGATCAGCTCGTAAACAACAATATCTACGCCAAGCTAATATAATTTGATGTTGAAAAAACAGTCCAGACAAATATATAAAAGTGTAGATTAATAATTTTGAAGCAATCGATACACGTAGAGGCAATCTGGTAGTTCTGTTGAGAAGAAATATCGTCTATGTAGATTGAAAATTACATGAAAGACAAGAACAAGAGAATTCGACAAATAATATGATTAATTTAAAACAAATGGACAGTTTAAAACGTCATCAGTTGGGCGGCGATGAAGTTAGATTAAAAAGACATAGAAATGAAAGACAAATACATTAGAATTCATGAAGTCAATAGTTTAATTTATGACGAAGAAAGTAATTATAACAGGTGGAATGATAAAAAGGTCGTAATGGAATATAAGTAGCAGATACTGATCACTGAAAAATGCCGAAGATTTTTTATGGCAACAAAACTTACAGCATTAAATAAAGGGATTATCATTATTAATGTTGTAAATCGATTATCGTAGATAATAGATAGGTAATGAATGGTAGTGAGATGGTGGAGATTTGTAGCTCAGGTGGATGATTTTGATGGAGTTTTGTCCTCTGAGCTGGATGGTTTAGTCGTGGAGCTTTCACCGTTCTTCTGAACAACATCATCAGCACAAACTTCAGGTAGAAGTGAAGTGTTCGAAGTTTGTGCTGATGATGTTGTTCAGAAGAACGACAAAAGCTCCACGACTAAACCATCCAGCTCAGAGGACAAAACTCCATCAAAAAAAGAATGATAGTGAATGAAAGAAATCTGGAAAACTTTATATTATAGTATTAATAGCATATCAACAGTTCAGTGAATGTCAGTAAACAATTGCCTCAATTCCAAAGCAAATCTTATAAATGATTTAGTGAGATTTTTGCGTTGAGATCGAATATTTCTTTAAATTTATTGGTTTAAAGAATATTGAAAATCTTTCGATTATTAAGTGCTGTTATGAGGGTAGATTTGATGAACTACTGGATATCAATAAAATGAATGTACATCCATTCAAAGGTTCCTTCTCTCCCTATTATGCTTCTTACACAACGGGATGTATTGCAACAAATAATTTATATGGAATCATCGATGACCGAATTCATTTCAGAAGTAATAATGCAGAGACAAGAAACTTAAGTCTTCTTAATGGTCAGACGGAAAATTTGGATTTGCTATGTAGACAACACATTTGTCATCATTAAAAAGGATCGGCAGGAAAGTACTTACAATTTGATAGACAGAATATTAGATAATATAAAATTCACATTAGAAACGGCAATCTAATAGTCTCGGATATGTTAGTCATCAAAACAATCTGGGAAAACTTGTAACCCAAAATGATGAAATCTTCAATTACACAATGACCTATAAATTAAGCTTGATACAAACCCTGTTTGAAAGACCAAAGATACCTCAGTGTTGCCACAACATAGAGAAATAAAAGAGTTAATACGTTGGGCTAGTCAGACAAATCATCTGTACACAAGATTCTAGAATGAAGAAAACACTTTGGGTTAAGGAATTTGAAACGATTAAGAGGTTGAAGTCTCACTTTATAGAACTTGTCAAGATGTCCCCAAATGCCCTGGTACGGCCGAAAGTGGGGAAAGTCCGCTCTCTCTCTCTTTCCAAATGCTCTTACATGGCCACGTGCGTACAACCACTGCAAGGAAAGTCCTACTCACCGTCTTCTCGCGACATTATTGTTGTTTACGAAATTGAGAGAACGAAAAGCGAATATCCAGAGCTTTAACAGGGTTTGTGAACACGGAGGGTCCACCTAGGGGATTTGGAAAACCCTCATTCAAAACCAATGGTGCACATGGGCTCCAGTATCCTGAGGGAACGAATGGTGTATGAACCAATCGTTGGTCACCAGCTACCATGTGACTGCATCTCCATACGTTGCTCCACTGCGATATGGATCAGACCTTTAGGTCAAAAGCTCTGGGTGTGGCCCCTCCAAGAAAACCATTTGTTTCGGTTTGGGCACCTGGGAAGTATGCCAGCCCTCATACAAATCAAATGATTTATGTGGAGCATATTTGTTTGGTGCCTCCTTGTACCAATGTAGAGATATTTTAGTCAATGTGAAAGAAAATCGTCACAAATATTTTGAAGTGGAATAAGACTCATGTATTATAAGCTCTATAAAACAACGTTTTCATGATGTCAGTTTCCATATTCATTAGATTTAATATGTGGACACCTATTTCTATCAAATATGTATATCAATATATATGCGGGGCTTAGATGAAAACTAGTTATGAAGTAGGTTGTATTTAATCTGATCTTATGATAAACTAATAAATATTACAAGAAATTTATTAAATAATTTATGAATAATATTAATTAAAAAAGAAAAAGAAAACAATAAACTCACTTGATATGATAAATAAAAACTGCCAATGATTGAATTTATAGTAAGTAGTGATTGACTACGAGCTGATAAAGGTAACTTTTGATCTGTGATTGTAACTCCTTGAAGTCGAATAATTTCACGTGCTATAAGGAATTTCAAAGCTGATTCAGGTAAATTCATAAGATCTAGACGATCTTTGCCAATTTTCGAAAAAGGTCCATAAGGAAAGTATGGTCTAAATAAAAAATAGTAATAATAATAATAATACATAACCGAAATAAAGCTTATTATTATCGTTATAAAACTTAGCATATAAATAATACACAACAGGATAAGAACTATTTAGAAAAACAATATTTTGTTTCATTCAAATCTAAATATGATAGCAAATTATAACACTATGAGAAGACTTGAGAATAAGTCTAGGTTTAAAATCGGTCGATGGAAAGGTGTAAACAGCCATGAATTGTTGTTTAGTCCTCATATAATTCACAGTAAAAAAATACAGACCAATGAACTGAGATAGAAACTAGATGTTAACGTTCACAACACATTGGTTCGTATGTATCCAAGCTACCGAGAGATTAATTTCATGTAATATCATATGGCCTCTCTCCCCAAACAAAAAGTTTGCAACTTCCTACATGGCTTAGATTAACGGCTAACTGGTTTATTAGACTGATGTCATGTATTAGCCTGATCATTAACAGTCAATATACAACATGAACCTACGCTAACGGGTCAAGGTAGATAGAGATTGGGGATATATATATATATCGATTGACATGACCTACAGTCTCATCAACTGATTTACTTTGTATACCCAACATTAAATTCATTTAGTCAAAGATTTTACCCTACATGGAAAACGTTTGGAGGAAGATACTAGTTGATGATGTCTTCTCTGCTTTCAGTAGTTATGTTTTACACAGGTTGAATGATACAGAAAATGGACTGTTGTGCAATGTGTTTGCTTCAAACACCTTGTTTGAGCCACAAGTGGAGTAGACCGACGAAAATCAGAAAAAAAAGAACTTCCAGTATATGTATTGGAATTCCACCTAGCAATAAACACACCAATGTTGATGAGACTTCTTAGGCAAGTAAAGTAAATGATTAACAATTACAACTAATTTGCTTTTTACTATAATCAAGAGTATTAGCCACTGTTTAAATACGAAATCTTAGCACAGTGATCGAACCAAGGAACAACAATTTTACGTGGAGGTAGAAGTGGGAAAACCTTATGATGAGTAACAATTGGAATGAATAATAGCATCAATGGATATTTTATTTCTAAAATGATTATGAAACCTAAGACGTTGTAGATGATGAGAGTTAAGTCGACTTTTAATTGGTTATTATGAAAGGACCTTTTCTTGTTTTTATAAAATGAAATTAGTTAGATTAAATTAAGACCGATCCCTATATTTTAACTGGTACCTCAATCAGTTTGGCTGGGAATATAGACTAGGTTCATCAAAGTTCTGGTGATCTCTTTTATGTTATTTACAACCAATAGGATGGTTCGTAAAGTGTACAGTCGATAAGTAATTAGAAAAGTGTAGAACTGTTTATTTTGTTGCTTCAATTGCCTACTCTGAGGACGAATCACTTTCTATTTTGCTTCACAATGGTAGCTAAGTGGTAGGGGCGCTCATTTTTTTAACCAATCAGTAACTAGTCGCTGTGTTGCTAAGATATCTGAAAAGCAACCGACATTTCCGTTAACCATTAGTTTATTCGCTTAATCAAAGAGCTACCTATTGTTATCTATTCTCTGATGTGCCTGCTTTATTTTTATGACAACTGATCATGATTATTGCAATGTCTTAGTAGCTTGAAATAAGGGTTGCATTCGTTTATAGCTGTTTTGATACCTCATTAGCTTTTTCTGATCTGAAAATTGTTTATTCTTTGCTACTTATTGTAGTAAAAGAAAGATTACACAGGGCTGTTTCTGTAGAAGAACCTTCGTTATGCCTCACTAAATGTCTAGCTAGTCTCTTTATTTATTGATCGTAGATATTTCTCACTTCTAAACAGAAGTTAAAGAGACTTTCTAGTTGCAGTTTTATTATTATCAGGATAAAGAGATGCATATAGTTGAAGAACCTAGTCTATAATAAAACATTTACCGGTGAACCGAGTTGACAGTAGTTACGAGAGAGAGGAGTTATTACCATAGAAAAACATAAGTATTTCATGACGTTCGGTCGTTCTTTACATAATCCTAGCTTATAATTCAAACTGATAAAAAAGGCTAACTATGATATATCTTTAATTTGTCTTCTTAAACTTACCGATAGAAGTCTAGTGAATCTAGAGGTATTTCAGAGGGACTTTCATATCCAAAAAAGTAAGGCAATCCAATAAATGCATAACCGGGTGATCGTAAAGAACCTAAGACTAGTGACTCATCTACAGGCGTAAGAAATATATCTAACTGAGATTTCTGATAATCGGTCATATTGAATTGAGAACAAATCTAAATAAATAAGTAAAGAAAGTTAACTAGGCTTACTTCTTTTGTTATTCGTAAAATTCGTTCAGATGGCTTTGCTTCCCATTCTACGTCAAGTCGTGTGACAGACCAACGACAAAGAACTTCATAATACGGCTGAACATAATAAGATAGTGAACATGCTGTGGCCGCGCATAAGAGTGCTAACTTTTGTGAGTGTTTCGCGAAAAATATCGAGAATTTATTCATAACGAAGCGGGATTCAGAATAATCTCTATGACTAAATCTTTCTGGAAATGTGAAGCAAAACTGGAAAATAAAAAGTATAGTGTAATATGCTCAAAATGAGAAGTTAAAGTGTATGCATCCTTATAAATACTATAGATCATGAGCAATATAATTAATAGGTCTCAGTCATAGACTATGGATATTTTGCGAACCACAGGCAAATATCCCTTATCTATTTAAGCATATAAGAACTGGTACAAAGGGTACCAAGGCATTTATGCGCCATACAGTATGGAAATTGAGAAGAGATAGAGAAAGAGAGGCAAGTATAAAGACGATGAATAAAAATGGTCGAGGGTAAAAAATAGCAGAAACAGATCATTTAAGAAAAACAACCAAAATGGGTCCTTTCGGTCAAAGTTACTCCCACTTTTAAATAAAAACAGTTGTAACAGGATCGCCCCTGGCTTTTATTCTGAACCATGTCTGATAACATCTCAAGCCACTGTGTTGCATCAACTCCAGGACCCTGACCAGAGAGTTGTGGAGAGCCAACAGAAGCCAGTCCTGTATAGTTTTCGTTCATAACATGACACAATGCCATTTACTGACCATCTCACCGATTTCCCCAACCAGTCCCAGCGTCAACACATGATACACGATGTAGAAATTCTCTGGGGTGGTATTTGTAGTACATTTCCAAGAAGCCGAAGTTGGTGTTTCAAAATAGTGACAATAATCGAATTATCGTCACTGTGCCGAACAAACGTTGCCGTACATCTAGATTCCTAAGATGGTGCTGCTACTGAATGTCAGCAATACTTCGGAAACAACGATGATCTAACATAGAAACTAAGGAAATAGTGAGAATTCTCCTTTCTCTTCTGGGGATGAATTTTTCGGAATTAATACTTTTACTTAACTTAATACAAAATAGTCTAATGTAGTGATGGTATTCCCCGTTACTGTTATACGAAAATTCGGATGTACTAGCTGAATCACATCGGGCAAAAGCTGAAATTTTCTCAAGCTATTTTAGCGAAGTCTACTGTACGTTTATTGTAACAAATACTTGTCCCAATCGCACCGAGATACCAGCCATTGAATCTCTACATAAGACTGAGGAAACTGTCCTTCTGTTGATAGCTTACCTCAAACCTTTTAAGATGCCGGGCTCTGACGGGTTACATCCACGACTGCTGCCATCTCTTGCGGACATTATTTCAAAACCGCTCGCGACATTCTTCAACATGTCCCTTCCACTCGATCAACATCCTAGAGATTGAAAAGACGCTATATTCAGTCCTATATTTAAGGATGTTCTGAGACGGTTCGCATCGAACTACCGGCCTGTCAGTCTAACTAGAATTATCGTTAAGTTACTTGAAAAGATAATTTGGGTTAGGTTGCTAAGCCACATAGATTCACACAGTCTGTTAGCTCCTGAGCAACATGGATTTCGTAACAAGCGTTCATGCTTGACTAACTAACTTATTGCGAGAGAGGACTGGACGGCAGCCTTAGATAAAGGTCTGTCTGTCGATTTGATATTCATAGATTTTAGCAAAGCATTTGACAAGGTTTCACACTTAGATCTTATGCAGAAGCTTACGAGCTTCGGCATAATAGATACTGTACAGGAGTGGATAGGAAACTCCTTATGTGACCACAGACAGAGTGAGGGTCAATGGAGCGGTATCCGATTGGAAGTCGGTCAAAAGTGGCGTACCCCAAGGCACCATCTTAGGTCCTCTGCTCTTCCTTCTATACGTTAACGAGTTACCGCTGTTGCTTAGGTCGTCAACATTATTGTTTGCGGTTGACGTAATGTTTGGAGAACAATAAAAAGTGAGGTTGATTATTTGGATCTCCAAGCTGACTTAGACGACTTAGTTAGATGGACTCGAGGTTGGGGCTTGGAAATGAATTCTAGGAAGAGTGTGCTAATGAACATCGGCCACGGTAATAGTTACCATTATACTACTGATGGTAAACCTCTTCCATGCGTTCAAGAACATAGACTTAGGAGTAATAATAAGTCATGACTTAAAAACAACTAAACATAGCAACGCAGCCGCTGTCAAAGGTTTTCGTGCGTTATGGTTACTTCGCCGAGCGTTCAAATCTTTTGACGAGGAAATGTTTCGAATTTTATATCCGACGTACGTAAGACCACATTCAGGGCACTGTATCCAAGCAGCTAGCCCATGTCTGGTAAAGGATGCAAACTCACTTGTGCGTGTGGGAACGAAAGCAGTGAAGTTTTTCTAAACTCCCTTACGATGAGTTTAAAACGCCTAAACCTTTTCCCCTTGTCGTGTAGTAGGACGCGAGGTGACCTTATACTGGCATTTCGTATCTTGAATTATGATTTGGGTGTTAATGTCTCACCTTTTTGCTTCCCCCAGCAATAATAATCACCGAGGTCATGGCAAGAAGGTTTGCAAACCGCGACCTAATAAACTTAAAGTGGGGTCCCGCTTTTCGCATCGAGTAGTCAATGACTGGAACGCCTTACCCGAACAAATGGTATCAGCCCCATCAGTGAATATTTTCAAGGACAAGCTGGGTCTTCACCGGAAGGCAATCTGTCAGGATTAACACAGGTTCACCAACCTACTATCATTATTACTGAAGACTGAAATGACACCAGTGTGCCTAAGACAGTGGAGAGGTGAATAAACTCATTCTCAAAATCGACACAATCCTTTCATATATTGCTTGTTTGAAAGCAATAACCACGGGAAGTGGTGAAATAAATGACAGGATGCATGAAGCCATTTATAAGATTACTTGTGGTCTCAGGCTAGACCACTCGAAAATCAAAATCCAACTTATTCACATACGCGTGTGCTTCCGTAACAAAATCCCTTACGTTAAAATAGAAAGTCGTGTAGAGGTTTGTGTCTAGTGAGAAATCACTTTGTGTAGTAGGAGAGCATGTAAAGTAACGTAGGTGAGGAGGGCTGGAAAAGGAAGGGAAAAGGTGAGTTGACGACCCAGCAAACAAACAATACGCTTACATTTACTTCGGGAACTAATAGACAGCAATCTGTAGTAACACGAGACTCAGATTCAAACAATCTTGGAACAGAAACTAGAGGCAAATAGTTTAACTCGTTAAGCAACGCTTCAGTGGTTCAACCACTGATGAAGGTTACTGAGCACTTGAAGGTCAAAAGGTCGTGAAACGATTAGTTCGTCACCTTGATAATTCGTAAAGTTTATCAGAAGCGGTCAAATCAAAATATTTATAGATTTGGTTTGAATTCACTCACAGTACAACCACAGTTTAGAACAGCGAATACTGTATACAAAGTTAAAAAGGTTTTAACGTCAACAGGGCTTAAGATCGCATACATTTACCATAGGGTTCTAAAACCTTTGGTGGCTATCACACAGTAGTGTGCAGTAGTTTTTAAGTTTTGGTTAACGATGACTCCCAAGTTATTGTGTGCCTGGACAACAGGTAGCCAGATTTCAGCTGACTATTGACTATCCCGTTGAATCATCAACGAATGGAATCCATTATCTGAACACATGTCTGATGACCAATATGCATCATAATGCACTTGGAAGCATTTGTCAGCAATTGCCAAATTTGAGACCATCAAGATAATTTCTCCAAGTCATTTTGAGGCTCTAAACTACCACATTTACATTTTACCGTTCTTCATATCTTGACATCGTCAGCGTATAATAAAACCGATGATGATAGGAGACGAGGATGGTCATTTACATACAACAGGAACAACACTGGTCCCCAAAACACTCCGATGAGCACAGTTTCCCAGCTAGACAACTTCGAGTTCACTTATACTCTTTGCTAACGCCCAACTACGGAGTCCTTTAACTACATCAATGAATTACCCACGATCCCGATATTACTAAGCTTATTTAACAGTTGGTTGTGAGGTACTTTGTCAAAAGCCTTTCTGATATCAATGTAGGCTACGTCTATAGGTAGGTCATCAGCCTTGGCATAGCAACTATTATGGAACGCTACAGGTCTTTAAGAAATAAGTGTAAAATTAAAATCCGGGAGGCTTAGAGAATATATGAAACGCTGTTGGCACAATGTGTAACCAAGTCGTTTAAATAACTATTCTCATGCACAAATTACAGAACAAGGATGTAGCATTGGATTATCAACCTAATTACGGAATGCAGTGAACCTGGAATGGTAGAGTATGATCAGGAAGAAAAAGGGGCCATGGCAAACTATTTCGGTGCAGTGTTCACTCGTGAGCCTCTCCTAGACGAAGAACTAAACCGAAATACGAAGTCGACAAACAGTCTGCTAACCATGAACTTTCATCGAGACGATGTACTTAAGGCTCTTATCATTTCAGACACGAAAAGTCAACAGGAGCGGATGAACTGCACCTTGAAATCCCGAGACAAATTGCACAATATACTGCAGCCCTATTAACTGTGACCTTCAATATATCACTTGGCCTAAGTGTGTTACCTACGAACTGGAAGGATACAATCGTCACTCCAATAGGAAAAAACTGGACCAAGACGACTTTCATCGAATCACAGACCTGTCAGCCTCGCCAGCATGGTAGTTAAAATACGAGAAAGAACATTAGGAAAGAACGTAAGGACATTTTGGAAAACAATAACCTATTAAACATCGAACAACATGATTTCAGAAAAGGTTTACCCCGAACAACAAACCTCTTTATAGAAATAAATAGTATATTTGTAATATCCCAATGAGTAGAAAAATGAGACTTTCTGACGTTTCGTGGCTTAGTGTAAGTCACTTCGTCAGAAGTGCTCAATTTATTCAAAATTATCAAATCAAGCCTTGTTAATGATACCTGTAAACTCTTAATAGCAAGTAAGCGATAGATAAAGGCTCTAAACAATGGAAAATCAGTGAACGCTGCCTATCAAGATTTCAGCAAAGCATTTGATAAGGTGCTAACGAAACTGCTCCTGAAGCTGGAAAGCCCTGGCACTGACCGACCTCTCCTAAGATGGTTTAAGGATTTCTTGGTAAGTCGCAGACAGAAATCAAGAATAAACTTCAAGTGCTCCACCTAGAAACCAGTAGTTCATGGGGTACCTCAAGATTCTATCCTAGGTTCTTTACTTTTCATACTGTATGTACATGGACTCCCAAGTATAGTTGAGTCCCCTTGCTGCTATACGCTGATGATGTAAAAATCCGGAGAGAAGTAAAAGGAGAGGCAGATACCTGAGCACTTCAGGCAGACTTAGATATTGTGATTAGCTTGTCTAAAGAGTGGCTGATGGCTATCAACGCGGCCAACTATGTCTACATGCATTTTGAAGATACAAAAGTAAACAGGTACAACAAGGGGGAAGTGCGTGTACCCGTGGTCTGGTCTCACAAGGTTCTTGGGGTGACAGTGATTCATGATCTTAAGACCACAGTCCACTGCTGAGAGGTTGTAACTAAGGGGTTTGGAACCCTATGGGTTTAAGACTGACATTCACCAAAATAGATGCTACTATGTTCAGTAAAGTATACACAACTTTAGTGAGAATTAAGCTTGAAAACTTTGTTCAGGCTGCATGTTCCTGTTTAAAAAGGAACTCGTATATTTTGGAAAAAGTGCAGAGGGCAGCCAATCGTGCAATTCCAGAACTGGGTTTACCATGCAAAGAGCGGCGTGAAAAGCTAGACGTCTTCACTCTGTCCTATCGCAGATTAAGAGGCGGTCTTATTTTGATGTGTAGAATACTTAGGAATGATTTTGGACGCTATATATTCTCTCTTTTCCTTCCCACTAGATCGGGACATCTCAAAGGACATACTATGCGGTTAGAAACGTGAGGAACGAACAAAATACCCATGGCATACAGGTTTTAACATCGGGTCATTAATTCTCGAAATCTGTAACAATAAGCAGATGTGTCCGCACCTTCAGTTGACACATTCAAGAGAAGACAAGACACTCATAGAAACATCGAAACATAGGCTGTAAGACTTCTGTGCTTTGAATTTGAAAGGTCACTGCACCTCACATCTTTCGAACTGCACTAACGAGTCCTATAAACACCCCACCATGATTCAGTAAAGAGGTTCGCACCTTTCTGAGTAAGAGGAGAACAATTCGGGAGATATTTGCTTTACTGAGTACTGACGAGAAAAATTCTCAGTGTCAAGAAGCTCGAAATATTTGTGATTCGACCCTCCGCAAACCACCTCGGCAAACCTCATATAGGTGGGCTACCTGTCCATTCACATAAGGTTCATACAGAAAAACAGGACGAAGCTCACGCGTTCCAAATTGAAAGCATAAACTGCTTATATATGAACGCCGCGAGTTTACCAAACAAACTGGGTGAACTACGTGAACTTAGCAACGCTAACAAGGCCCATCTGATAGGAATGTCTGAAACCTGGATATCTTCTCAGTTCTCGGATCAAGAGTTAGCATTACCTGGGATGACTTTGTTCCGCAACGACAGAAAAATAGGAATTGGGGGGGGGAGTAGCCATATACATAAGCTCTTGCTTGAAGGTGCACCAGGTTCACAACCTCGAGTTTAACAATCTTGAGGAATCCATATGGTGCTCTGTAAGGTTGTCTAGTACTTCCAGGTGTCTAGTCGGAGTCTTTTACAGGAAGCCAACTGCCGACACCGAGTACGATAGTCGTATGCTGGAACGACTATCCCGCTCTATCCGTCTCGGTTTCACACACATCCTGATTCTAGGGGACTTTAATCTCCCTAGAGTCAACTTCGCGGAACACACGTATACTGGAGGCTACAACTCATTTGAAGCTCGGTTCTTCAACCTCATCGATAACTTGGGCTTATATGAAAATGTGAGGTCGGCAACTCGTTGGAGAAACAGTCAGACACCATCGCGCTTAGACTGTGTATTCACTAACGAAGAATTCCTAGTCGACAATCTCTCAATCCTGGCTCCTCTGGGAAAAAGCGATCATGCCGTCATAGCCTTCAGTTTTGTCATCAAAACTAAGCTAAGGTATCCCAACAATAATTTGCGATGGAATTTTAAACGGCTGAATGTGCGAGCTCTACATGACCATCTACAACAGGTGGCTTGGGATGTTCACCCTCAAATCGATGTGGATGGTCATTGGGACATCTTACTGCACACGCTCTCATGTGCTACAGACCATTCAGTTCCTCAAACGGTTCCCAAAAGCTTCAAGCCACCTACAGTTATCAAGAACCGTACCCTTCGCCTGCTAAGCCGCAAACGGCACTGTTGGGCAGAATACAAACGAACTAATAACGATGGAGCGTGTAGGCAATACAAACATATCAGGAACACATGCACGAAGGCTATAAGAGAAGACAGGCTTCAGTACCAAACAAAGCTTATGGACAAATTCGCCTCTAACCCTAGAAGCCTATTCCGTTATGCAGCCTCACTTCGTCAAGCCAAAACAGGAGTTTCTCAACTGCTGGGTCTTAACGGTCCGACCAACGACGATGGCGACGCCGCTAACCTTCTGGCGGCCCATTACTCTCAAACATTTCAACCGGCTGACATCATTTTTATTGACGACAGTTTCATCTCCAACTCCACAGGACTTTCTGAAGTGGACCTAAGCGCTGACTTGGTGTTCCGGAAACTGCAGCACTTAAGACTTGACACTTCTCCTGGCCCGGATATGGTTCATCCTGCCATACTGAGGGAGGCAGCCTCAATCCTGGCGACGCCGCTTAGCGTGATGTTTTCACACTCGCTTAGCCGAGGCAAATTACCGGAAAACTGGAAGTTGGCTCACATCACACCAATTTTCAAAGGTGGTCGACGCAATGAACCTTCAAGTTATCGGCCGGTAGTTCTTCTGTCGTTACCTTCAAAACTCATGGAGTCCCTGATATGCGACGGTTTAAATGACTATCTACTGTCCTTAAATTTCTTCTCACCCCAACAGCATGGTTTCAGGAAGGGTTACTCTTGTATAACCAACCTGCTGACTGCGGTGGACAGATGGACAAGCATCCTCGATCGCAAGGGAAAGGTTGATGTCATTTACCTTGATTTCTCAAAAGCTTTTGATAAGGTTAACCACTTGTGTCTTATCAACAAGCTCAAACGACTAGGTATCAAACCACCTCTAATCGATTGGCTTACTTCATACCTGAAAAATCGACACTTTAAGGTTAGGGTTAATTTCACTTTATCTCAAGCTATGGAATGTCCTAGTGGGGTCCCCCAGGGCTCAGTACTAGGGCCTCTTCTCTTCTT